TAACTGTATTGTAGATCAGTGCTGGGAACAATACTGAGACCTGGGTTCAATCGCCCCATTCGCCCGTCATAAAGCCATGCGATTACAACTGTTCTATTCAGTTGAGAGTACTCTCCAACGGCAGACGCTACAATGTTTTGTCATTTGCCGAAATTGGCAACAGCAATTTACCCACACTTATTGAAAAATCGAAGGTACCAGAGGTCCAAAGGCCCTCGGGGCACTGGGAGCGGGTCATTGGTGAAGGAGGGATTTACTCATCCTAAAGCTAAAATATCACTTTTCTATCTATTCTCCTCTTTGTTTTATTCAAGAATTTTCATTTCTTTCACACCGTTACCTACACTTTCCTTTTTCCAGCATTCTCACAATTCCGCTCCTTCCGATCGATAAGCATACTTTCTCTACCTGAACCTGAAATCGGCAAATACGCGATTTCAAGGCACCATGAGTGAACGCGGCCTCCGCACCCCTTTGTCTTTCACACGAATGCCTAGTACCGACGGTTAACGGATAAGTTCCGAACACACCCTAAGCCTACCCGGCGCTACTTATTTCAGGGGGACGATAGGCAGCAGAGCGTCGACGTCCCTACCCTTGCCCAAGGCTCAGCTTTAGCGAAACCTGGACAACTAGAGCCAACATGGCATGAGCGGAGCAAAGGTAGCTACACCGCCCCTGATCCTTCTCTGGTACGTGAGCTACATTACTGCCGCCTCCTTTTCTGCACTCTACCCAAAAGGCCGCTATACTGCGACAGCTGATCAGATCGTGTCTGGAGAACATGTCTCCTTCCACAAAGAGCACATCAAACTAACCAACAACAACTAAAAGACTGAAAATACGATAAGTAGTTCAAATGAAAGGTAAACGAACTTCGATCGAAGACGACTCTGAACCCAAATAAGATCTTAAAGCAGTACACTGTTCCACCGTTAGATTACATAAAGCACCATATTCAGCTAATATTGTAAGTACAGCATAGCATTCTAAGCACGCCTCATTCGAACAGCAGTAGGACACCTGAAAGTAACACGAGCTATGACGAACGTCTGTTCCCAATGAAATATCAGACTAGAATGCAAAAAAACCATTAATAAACTCACAATCGGGGAAGGAAGTGCTGCATCACTTATGAGGTCAATAACAGTATCTTGAATGTCGAACTCCCTTTTCCGGCGTTTCGATTCGGATGATTCTAGCTCATTCTCTTCCTTTTCATCCATGCTCTAGGGAACCACATTTTGCAGAAAAAGGAGGAAAAAATAGAACCAAAGCATTTATATCGCACAATAAACGAACTTTTCAACGAGAAGTAAGAAGAATTTATTACTTTTCATCAAGAACTTACATTTTTACAATAGTAACAAATTAGAACGTTATAACAAAGTCATTATGTCTACCTAGCCTATACGTATCTCTCTTAAACAATTTAATCAGCTTTTCTTGGCTTTTCTGCTGCTCTTGGACGATTTTGCACAAATCCTGCAGGTCCTCCCCTGTTTTCAAGAATTCTGCCAAGCGTCTTTGGAAATATGGACATTGCCAAGAATCGTTCACCCATATCACCCATAAGGAAGTTATACGATTCTATAAATAAGGAGAGTAAACTGAACGCTTACTGGCGAGAAATACTGGCCTTGTTCTCGCAAAAAAGTGATAATGTTAACAAGTGTTAGACAAACTTATGAGCAATTCCTGTTTTTCTCGGTCATTGCACGACTTCAATAACTTTCGCAGTCGCAGTTCAGCACCAAGCTGTGCAAGAAATTCGCTAAAAAAACTAGGCATCAACAGGGGAGCAGAAAGCAGATTGATTCTTCTGATCTAGGCGCTAATAATCCTATGAGAGGGCCACACGTGTAAGCGCTTGTGAGCTTTCCAATTCTGTTAAAAGTATACCTGTGAATACAGGACAACCCTGTCAACACCCAGTAGGCCTTGTTATCACCTGTTGAGCTTTGTAAACTCATGTCAAACTTGTCCAAATGACTAGCCTTGATTTAGAGAAAAATGGTGAATTGGCGTTCCAATGACGCTCAGTATCATTTCGTCAAGCTTGACAGGACTTTAGTGGGTACTTAACAGGAATGAACAAGACTTGCAGGGTCAGACATGACAACAGACACACAAAGAAGCGTTTAGAGGTGTGCCCCCCCCCACAAGGCTATTAGGGCACTGATCTACAGTGGCATACATGTGACAAAGTTTTACTATCGAGTATAGGAGTGGTTAAAAACGGATTCAACAAGTGTACAGGTCCTTAAATTACTCTAGAACACTGAACAAACCGTTGTGTATTCGGACCGTAGACGATGGCGCGATCGACGATAAGTGACTTGAGGTAGCCAAAATTAACATCGGCAGTCAGATCAATAGCACCAGGTTGGCTTAGAGGGTTCACCTGAAAGTATTCAATGCTCTGCTTCGTCTAGGCTATGTTTATGGTTTGCGAATATGAAGAAAGTGCGAAAATAAAAGCATACGAGTTGATCCAGAGAATCGGCATTTGAGAAAACCGGCGACAATGGATCGGAAAAGAACCGACGGGCTTCTTCAAAAGCACTAGTGAACGAAGCCAACCGACCCCAAGCTAATCCTTTGTCGCGGATTCTCTACGTTTGCGAAGTACCGTATCGAGCAAGTGGTCGTGCGACACTTCGAACGGGTTGTTCCACAAAAAAAGTAAAAAAAAAAACTCCAAATAGTTTGTCCCTTGATTATATGTAGCGTTTCTGGAGCTTTTAAAGGACAGGTCAAGGTTGCGTAACTTTTGGAGCTCAAGAGCCCATAGTGGATCATCTCACTCTTCGACACATGCCATGAGCTCCTGCAGTGCTCCCCTGTTAAAGCCGAGGGAGCTAACATTTGCACTGCAATCAGAAGCCTGTGCCATGACACAGTATCTATCGTATCCGGACTGGCGCACGAAGATATTTCTCCCCACCTTTCTAGTAGATTTGCACTTATATAGACAAGACTACAAGGACTAGATTTATAAGGACAAGATAAGGCATCCGCACTTCTTTACCGGATGTGCCTGGCTGCCTTAACACAATCTGATGAACAGATATCACGAACTCACTTGCTGATGCTTCTGATAACCTCTGAAAGACAGATCGTTTCGAGATCCATTATGACCGTAATCAATGATAAGTCCAAACCCGCCATTATAAACGATTCTGAAATTTAAAGGTCCAGTGAAACTTACCATCGTACAATGACTGTGAACAATATGGTAAGCCAAACAGTGTGAAGATACCTTTCCGTTATTTGATTCACGAAGGTGCCCGCCTCTGGACAGCACTTCCCAATGAAGCCTCTTCCTTGTCGGCGCGGATATCATCTGGTATCAAACCACCTAAAGCACTCATACTATGAATACAAGCCGAGTAATTCCTTACAAAACAATCAAACCTACCGTGTGTGTAGGTTTTCGCCTTTAGATCTCATGAAGCACAGTTCTCCTGAGTCATCAATGTTGATGTAAATCTAAGAACTTATATCTGAATGACAGGTAAGAGCAGTAGGGCAAATCGTAGCCCAGTAACTCCCCAACTGACCTCATTCCACACCCCATTCGAGTCACGGCTGAACTGATGAACAGGTAGTGCGTCCAGGAACTCGTTAGCAACAAAAACGGAAAACTGAACACGATGAAATGATCTAATTGCACACACTGAGGAAAAACGTTGAACTTACCCCCTCAGGCACATCATCTAAATTTTTGTACCATGCTATTGGAACTCCTGATTTCGATTTATTCTCCTTCACTGCGTTCTCTGGAAGAATGGCTGATGAAAGAAAAGAAATGTTCGTGGAAATAATCGAATTACCCACTACTGGATGAGCTCACTGCTGACGAGCACGAGCCACAAAGCAGCTCTTCTTGCTGCCGAATGAGGGCATCAGATGTCTCCACCAAATGTACGGACACATTCTCTTCCTATAAAATGATAGAAGGATAGACAATGGGACAGATTTCGTAGTATTGTGCTATCCCCCAGCCTCACTAGAACCTAAATGTTGTAAAACATCTTGAGGTCTAAAAACTTATTGCACCATAAAGACTCTAGGGAGGAGGCTAAAATTTCTTAGAGACGTTTCAGCAAAGGTTCAAATCTTGTCGATGCGAAGAAAATAGTTCTGCAAAAATGTTAGCTTTTTCCAGACTCTAAAGCGCTTGCAATAAATTTTTGGGACGTGTTTTGCAACAACAAGTCCGGGGGCCAACCAATACACTGAAGGGGACAATCTTATGAGCTTGGCGCTGCCACGGTTAACCAGAACAAAAGCAATTTGGAAGAGATGAGTTGGAACCAATGTAAAAAAAAGCGGGGAACGTTAGCTAAAAAAGGTCCATGAAAAACAATACCCATTCTGGCTCACTCTAGATAAGTAAATTCAAGAATTAGTCATACATGCTACAAAGAAAGCAAACTACCTGGAACTTATCCATTGCCACCAGGATATCGTGCATGAGTTGTCCTGTACCTGGCCCACATTCAACAAGCTGCCAAGGTCCTAATATTGGTTGATAACTCTTGAATCCATAGCCAATTTAGAAGAAAAACCTCACCTGTATGCCCTGTATTCGCCAGTTCATAATAGCACCAGACGCCGAGAAGTTCTCCAAAGAGCTGTGTTAATTCAGGAGCAGTAATAAAATCACCTTCTCCACCGAAAACCTATAAGTCATCACAATGGAAATCAAAAACTTTCAATTTCGTCCTTGAAGTCTTCTATCGCATGCTAGACCTGAATAACGATTAGACATCACTGCCTCAAAATGCTGCTTTACGCTGGCATTAGCAGGCATACGCTGGATCGATATCTAGTTTCCTAGTCGCCCGCACTAGCGTACTCTCGAAACGCTGCCGTAAGCTGGCGTACGTTGACGCAAAGTATGAACGCGGCCTCACCGCCACCGTAACTTCCCGGTCTTTCGCTGGCAAATGTAATTGAGGAGATCTGAGTGGTGGCAAAGGTGACAAAGTAGGAATCACAATTGACGTCATATGCAGAATAGGACCTAATGAATCCAACATGGCTATGCTTCCGTAGCTTCCGCCAATTAGATTCTCTGAACTACTCCTTTCGCCTTCCATCAAACTGCACAACCATTCAAGATATCGATTTAAGCTCTGGGATACGCCAAGGACTCCCTGCCCTTTTCTCAATTATGTGAGCCTGTTTCAGTGGGTGCGATGTGCGTGATTTTGTGACCATTACAATAAGCCAATCCCTCTGAAGAAACGATGTGATGAGACGCTTAGATTATCAAAGTGGATCTGATAAGAAGTGAACATCTCAGGAAATATGGTACACCTTGGGCAATTTTCGAGGCTGATTACTGTCCGATTAAATGCTGCTAATTGTTACAGCAATTAACCTTACTTTCTGCGAGTCCGAAAAGCCTCCATAGTATCCCACAGTGGGTGCACTAACAGCAGTTTTCATGTATTCAGCAACTGTAATCGGACCAGAAGCTCGGATCTTGTCGATGAAAAAGCGTTTCAGGGCATCACTAGTACTCTGGAAGTAAGCAGTAAATCAAATTTTTGGGGCGTTTTATATCTGACCAGTTTTCGTACCTTCGTCTTGTCAACACTGGGGGTTGAAACTTCGTTTGAAAGACGTCTAAGCCATGATGCATATGATGGGAAACAACGAAGCGTTCGCCGAAAAGTGGAGTTCATACCGCTCCACAGTCTTCATTCAAAGCCCGATTTTTCCACGTCGTGATTGCTGTTCGTCTGCGATTGCGTATTTCTCCTGTTTGGGAAGTCTTTTTTTTTTCGGTTGCGATTTGCCGTATTTCTCCTGTTTGGCCGTCTTTTACACAGTTTTACTGTTTCTTGTGTTTTTTACCGTAGTTTTGTGTGACGGAAAAGGCAAACAGTTGTGATAAGAACTTAACGAAGTGCAGCAAGTTTTTGAGGGGTTTATAAGAAGGAGAGCGTAATCAGTAGTTTTAAGAGCAAGCGTTATTACTTGCAAGACGCAATAAGAAACTGGTTGTTCCACAGAAACTTCATTTTCCCTGTTTGAATTGAATGCTAATTTAGGGAAATACAGTCCAGTTTCAAACTTGAACGGCCGCAAACTTTTTTGAATAGATATATACAACACACACAGAGAACGTGTAATGTTGGGCGGCCCAACAAAAAATCATCTAAGGGTTCTACGCGTTGCAAACTTGAACTCAATTCCCTTGAAACGCTCGAATGGTGTTTTCTCTCCTCTCTCATCCACATGGCACTCCATAGTCTTGGTGACTTCGCACATTCCAGCACTTCATCGATTATTATTATATTATTTATTATTCACGTGCATTCCAGCACCTTGCGTTTTTTCTGATTCGCCAGCAGAAACCATGCACAAACTCCAAGATGCTCATCTAATGATCTGAAGGAATCCCAGTTTGGCCGTCATACTTGCCGATAAGACAATAGGAGCATCCAGATTATGAAATTGCCCGATGCAAAAGCACAGGTACTGCGCTCCGTTCTGACTGAATGAGGAAATCGCGAAAAAAATCGAGAAAAAAAAACCAAGTTTTGGGCGTACGCTCAAGGGAGTGATGGCATGCATGACGCCCGACGACTGCGCGACACTTAGGAGAACGCGCGCTCTTCAAAACGTCAAATACGAGTACCCGATTTTTACTTGCGGCGCCATTCGGAAGACGGCCAGGAGTCACCGCCGCGCTCGAAACTAGGTCACCGCGCGCGGCGACCTGTCCGCGTGGCGCGGCGGTGAGTCCTGACCTGGCATTTTGCCAACTTCCGATCAATATGACCCTATCGCAGTTTGCTTGGAGCGTTCTCTCTTTGCCTCATCTTCCATCTGCCAAGAACATGTCCAAACAGGTAGACATGTTCAAACATGCAAACAAGTTAAAGCATGTAATCGCCGCGCGCGGTGACCCACTTCCCAGCTATCTGGTTCGGGCGCGGCGGGAGATCGTAATTTGCCGCGCTGCTGGTCGCGTGCGACGTCTCGCCCGCAAAGGACGATGTTTCAGGCAGTAGATGGCGACAACATGCAATTAAGGACCGAAAACAGTAATGAGTGTCTACGATGGCGGGGTCTACATGAAGTCCGGTGCTCCATTCGACAGGTTAAAACGAGTATGGAAACGTCGCGCCCACGCGTGGCGGTGCGGCTCGAAGTTAGATTCCTCTTTACCCGTCTCCCCTGACACACACCCCGCCGCATTCCGTATAAAGCGAGCACATCCTCAAAATGCAAATGATGGTCCTTGTGGCACGAAAGTCGGGCAATGACTTGCCAAGTGCGTTATGCCTGCAGTGTTTCCTAACCTAGCCCACAATGAACTTCCCAAGATCATTGATTGTAAGGCAAAATGCTGAATAAAATATGAGGAAATTCCATTGCCCGAATGCGTTGGCCTCTCGACTCACTTCGCTTTGAATATCTTACAACACATTTTTTTTTTTGTTAGCACAGATTCGAAATTCATCGCTTTCCTTTTTGTCGCTAACGCATCACTCATTCTATTTCAAATCCCGTATGATTTCCAGGCTGATTGAGTATGTGGTTATCAGTATACGCGACCACGAGCGTCCTGCGTGAGAACTCAGTATAGTGAGAAAAAAAAACTGCGCCAGCGATGCTTACAGAGGATCTATTGCCGAAACAGCTGTTTACGCAGCTTAAGCGAAAAAAAGCGGCGACGCTGCCGACGATGTTCTGGTTTGTTGATATCATAGCTATATTCTCTTTCATCATCCCGTGTACATTCTCACCTTTTGTGAAAGAAAGCGGCCTAAAGCAGAATAACTCTATCACTAATGCATCCTCACAAACGCTGGCGTGGGGCATGGACAGTGGCGTAGGCACTATCTCACATCACCAGCGGGCGTAGCACCATGCTTCAAGTACTTTTAGCCTGCGAAACTTGCAGACCAACTACTTTTCAAGGATGGGTGTCGCTCATCGGCGAAAAACGTCAGAACTGCCCATTTGAATTTTTTTGCACTGTTCGCCATGCGTGCGTGAGTCCCAGAATAGCGGAATCGGCGAACGAAATGGTTAGTTTACACAGCTCTCCTCGAGATCGTGCTAATCGTGAGCAGTGTCATAGCTGCAACTCCTCTGAGTCTCCGATTCGGCCGTTTTTGCGACTAGCCAGCATTTGCTATCATTTTCATTCTGTCCTCACTTCGTTTCGATTGTTAAATATTTTATTTGTTTCTCTTCTCATTGCGCTGCTCTTTTGGGACATAACGCACTTCCAAAAACAGTTTAAACCAGCATTGTTTATGGGTGAAAACGACAAACATGGTCCACCGCTAATTGCTTCTTTCCCGTACGGAGCGAGATCGATACCTATCTAATCCTTGTCGCAAATCCGGCATGCTGCGAAGGAGTAGAAAACTATGAACACTGTTTTGTTTTGCTGTGATTATATCGATGTGTTAGCTTATGGATGCGATATATTGTTGGGCGCATAGCCGTCCTCACGCGTTTCCTTAGAGCTTTCATACTTTGCGTCAGTGTTCTGAGCGACTGGGGAAGTGTAATATCGATCTAGCTCTAGCGTTCTAAGCGTACGCCGGGGTTTTGGTCGTTTTCGCAGACAATTTCGAGCTTTTCGAGGGCAGTCGCTGAGAACGCTGACCCATACTAGAAGCACTGTAAACGCTGCTGTACTCTCGAAAGCTGACGCAAAGTATGAACGCAGCCTTGCCAGTCGTGCGTTTCACGCAATTGAGCGACTGCTTCGTCTACGGTCAAAGGAAAATCAAACAACAGAAAATGGTGCTCACCTGTCCCGACAGCCCAACAATAATAGAAATGGTATTGAAAGCTTGTGTATTCGGAGGCGCGTTTTACTCATCCTTAAGGACAAACTGTACACCCATCTTCATGGACAGTACTTTCTGCAGCTGCAGTAGCGTGTCACATTCTCCGCTGAAAAAAGTAGCAATGCGATGCTTGGAGGGTAGCGGAGTGCATATCTGACGTGTCCGTCTACATACTTCCGTCCGCTGTCCTGATGGTGACGATGGCAAATACTTGCGTTGCCACCGAGTTCCGACAACAGATATGAGAATTAACTAGATGTGAGAGATTCGCAGGCAAGTAGCGCGTTTTGTTGTGGTTAGGCGTGGCTATATGACCGTGAATATTAAAGCACCAACTCAGCGGTGTAAATGAAAGCAGAAAGAACGATCGAAAGTGCTCCAGTACATCAAAGAGACACCACGCGTCGAACAACCAAACAAACGACGAAGTGATGAGAAGTACGCAGATGAAGACTTCGCCGCTATACTACGGAGGTGGAACGATATGTTGGGTGTGGAGATCTCAAATTAAGGGATGGATACATTAAAAGCCCCCCCCCCCCCCCATGGCAAATTCCAAAAGTGCTGCTGAAGAGCAACTTCGAGGTGAAAAAGTGGACGATCCTCTGCCATCACAGACCGCGTCACCTAATCCCAGAAAGGGCTTCTGCAGTAGTAAAACCGCGACTTCGTGTCCTTGCAGACCCGTTTCATTTAACTTTCAAAACAAGTCGACGAACTCGCGAAAGAAACTGAGCTGAAAAGTATACGCTAATACATACTATACCTCGCAACCCTTCTTTATCGCAACGTATGAACGTAGTCTAACGAACACCAAAGTACTCTGATAGGCGTACCTAAGGACGAAAAACTATGCAAAACTATAGAGATCGGTCAATTTCCGGGCCCAAACTTATTATGGGCTGGAAAGGGTCGCGACGCGGCTGCGGCGTGTCACGAGCGCGGCGATCAGCGCTTTCCAGCCTATTTTAGCCATTTTCTCCCTAATTTACACTGTTTTGGCTGCTTTTCTTAAGGTTAGTTGTTCCTTGTCTTCACAAGGTGAGTTTATCACTGGATTTCCTCTATTTTTTTTTTTGCGTACAATCAAACAGGCAGACAACTGAGCAAACACCTGAACAAAAATCGCGAAAACACTCTATTACAGAACCAAAAAAGTCTCCGCGCCCTGTACTGTACTGGTGTACTTCATAAAGACAAATAAACAAACTAACCTCTGAAAAATAGATACACGGAAAGTTGGGTTCGTGAAAAGGGCAAATTAGGCTGGGAACAGCTGCCGTCGCCGCGTGTTGACGCGCCGCAGCCGCCGTCGCGAACCCTTTGGTTCGAGTAACGACGGTGCCGGATGACGACTGTAGTTCCGCTGGAGTACGTTTGGGGCCTCAGGCGGATATGAATTGTGCGCGGGTCAAACCTTCTCCACCTTGAAAGCGAGAAATGTATATGACTGTAGGGTCGTACCGTTCGCATTATTATATTTATTTATTATTGTATTTCATACACCTCAGATGAGTGCGCCATAAAGAATTATACTCAAGAAGGAGCAAACGATCCAACATGTTACCAGGTGGAGACTGTAGGTGGTCAAAATACACACTAAGAAGAAGAAGCGCGCCCAGTGCCTAGAATACATAAGTAGAATTGGGGAGTAGAATTGAATCGGAATAGCCCCTGTGTCTATGTGTTCATACAAGCCTCTTGGTAAAGATCTAGGCAGAAAGCGGACAGAATCGCCAGTTGTTAACCAGTATCCTCACCAGTTGGCCATGGTGTCCTCCAACCGATAGGATTGAAGGCATAATGTCGGAACTTCGGAACACGGGTATGCCAACATAACAATATTACTACTCGTTTTCTACTACTTTTTGACGCATGCGCGCTCCAAAAAAGAAGGCAGAGAACGGCTATAACTTGGTGACACACTTATACTGCCTGACACGCTCAACCGTCCGCAGCAAACTAGAATGTAAATGGGGCACGACAATTACAAAAAGGACAAATTATCAATTTGCGGAAACATATCTACACAAGAAATGTCCTTAATATACAAGTGGGATTATAACCCTTACAACTTCAGACCTTGCGTTCTCTTAATTCAAAACAATAAAGTTGAGTTCTGCCCTATTGTGCCCCTTCTGCCGCTCCATCGGTTAGCACTACAGCATTATGAGCTGAAGAAACTTACAAAATAATCACTGGAAACAGCGTCTCGAAGTTTGCTAAGGATAGAGCGAAGGTGGTGTAGGCGACTTTGTACCCCAAAATAGGCGTCTTTCTCGAGCACTTCGGTAAAAAGCGTAAAGACCCTGTGAACAATTCTTCTGAAAGAAAAAAGTAATCTTGAGAGTAGCCTAGACTGCAGAAAGTGGATTTTTCTCCTTGACAGAGTTCCGCATATAACGCTTGCATTTTCTCTTTTCACCGGCTTCATCGACTGATTTGCCTGGACATCAACGGTAGATTCCACGATTACCGATGGGCGGAGACTCACAGCCGTAGTTTTATTCTAGCAAGCCACTCCCCTTTAACATATCCAAAAGGGGGCCCACCAGTGATATAGCCGCATGGTTCTGACACTTGCGCTTCTTCGCTTATCACAAATCTTTTTCAAAGGAAACAGAGCAGAAGCCTCTATTGCTCCTTTTCCGGTCTGCCCTATTCCTGAATGCGTTTAAGTGATTTGCTGCGTCTAATTCTCATGTCTGGTATTCTATCGCTACTCTATGTCTAGCAGGCTCAGTGTTCCATCTCTCAATCACCAAAAAATTATTTTGAAGTACCACAAGAATGCTGAGTTGCTGCGGCACAAAATCATGCGCCGCAGGTCGACACCCGCACCTCACGCTTTCGGGCGATGCGCTATCCGTTACGCCACTAGAGTCGGTTTTACCCTCTCAGCTCAACGGATTTTATGCCGTAGCCTATCAGCACTCACACATTTTACTTGGTGAACGTGTGAGTGCTGATAGGCTACGGCATAAAAGCCGTTAAGCTGAGAGGGTAAAAGCGGCCCTGGTGGCGTAACGGATAGCGCACTCGCCCGGAAAGCGTGAGGTGCGGGTTCGACTCCCGCCTGGGGCACGACTTTTGCCCACAACTCAGCATTCTTGTGATAACTTTCGGCGCGCATTTGCGGCGTAAAAACAGCAGTTATCGTAATATAAAAACATTTCTGAATACCTTTTTCCTATTGTTGTAGATTCGTGAGTGCGTAATGCGCTAGAAACGTTCCGCCGAGTCAAAAGAACAATTTTTTGGATACTGCCCTACAATGGATCGGCCGAAGCCCAAATTCTACTCGGCTCCCATGGTGCGATACTCGAAGTGGGTTCTTTTCTACTTTCTCTCCTTAAAGGCATTTGGCACGATGACTTGGTTCTCGGCCTAAAATGCTAGTAGGGCGCTATATAGTGGGGAAATGGCGAAAGAACGGAGTGAAACGGTCAAAATCCTGCGAAGAAAGAGCCTCCATTCTCAATGTGTTCAAAATCAATTTTGGACGAGTTATCATAAAGCATCTTCCAATAACACTACGAAGGTACCGCTGCATAGTCGTGCTCATATTATCCATGCAGCATCGCTGGGATCGCATCCATACCAAATCCCTTCGCTTCAAAAATTTCTATAGCAACATGAATCGATAGTATAACTCAGGAACGAGTCGTCCATTTGTGGCGTATGTGTAGGAGTGTTGTGGCTTAATAGGGCCTTTATAAGGGCACCTTTCTTGGAAAAGGTATTATGCAGCGCCTGCTCAAGGTCGCGGAATTCCGTGCTGCCGGGCGTATTAATCTTACTCATCTTCGGGGATTTATCGTGCCAACTGCCTTTAAGGATGAGTGACGGAATGGATGATTGGTTGCGGTGGAGGTCGACCTGGTGTCACTTGTCGCCACTCCGGGTGTGTTGTCCTTGAAGTAAATGTGAGGTTCAAGGTCCTTCACTTGTGCAGGTTAGAGTGCCTTTAGTGGCTAAATGTTATTGTAGGTCACGCTTCATGGACCAATACAAGAGACATTGTACCACGTTCGAGTTCATTGGGACTGAGACCTATGGCTTCTTGTATAGCCGTGCTGTAGCAAAAGCTTTTTTCACACTGGACAGCATTCTACAGCTCCCACCAAGGCAAGACTTGTTATTCAACAGGAACTAGCAAAAAGTTATCGAAATTGCAAGATTCCCCTTCCTAACGGAACAGCGCATATTACAGCGCATCTACGTCGAACCAGTTGGTCCGGAAGAGAAGGTTTGCGCTTGCGAGTGGCGTCCCGTGCGGCGCACATGACTCCGCTCGCGACTTTGCCGCCTCGTCGCAATGTGGATCTCCTGACCCGCAGCACATTAAGGGGCAGCAACATGTAGCGGGTGAACTCTTACATACTTCTCATTGATTGCTATTCAGGTTGGCTTTCCGTCAATTAGTCCGCCTCTATAATGTGGACTGCTGCTACACTCCAATGATCTATGCGAAGAACTTTCTAGAATCAGAGTACTGCCGCTCAAGCGAGTTCTCAACCTTACCAGGTTTGATTTGAGCTTATGGGTATATAATTTTCGATTATTAAACCATGAGTTTTACTCTCATAGTTATTTTTCAGAAGATCGACCACTCATTGTTCAATTCGCTTCAGATGACCCATCAATCTTTGCTAGTGCCGCCGAGCTAGTCTACAAGTTGGTAGATTCATTCATAAGTGTACTCACAGAGCGCGTGGCGTTCACAGTACGTGACCATCTGGCGTGCGGTCGCGTAGCGGTCAGCTTGCCGACGCGATCAACTTATTGCGCGCTAATCTCTTTCACTGCGCGCTCGGTGTCCACATACTGTATACCCTCCTTGTTCTGTGACTATTATAGGGTCACCTACACCTAGCGATGCGAAAGTTCTCAATTACAGGTATTCCTCAGGAGTTGATCTCAATTGTGGCTGCCCCAAAGGCGATGTCAGAGCCAAGGGGTTTGGGAGCCTTCTGTTGAATAAACCGGATCTTCTGGCAGATATTGTCAAGCAATGTAGAGCACGAATATCGGACCCTGATTTCACGGTAAATGTAGCTGTCGTTGACTCAGCATTACTTATAATTAGTGACTTTGGGCCAGGAGATTCAAGCTGCGGCGGAACGCGGACAGTATCTTGACGCGCGCGGCATTTACTAATTAGTTGACTCGGTTTGCTTTAGCACTTTTGCATTGAAATCAATTAGTTTATGGTGTGGATGCTGCGCGTGCGACGCCACTTACTGCGTCGCATTCGGCGCGTGGCTGTAACTCGGATCTCCTGACCAACGCCAGCCGGCATGAGCGTAATTTTGTGAAATTTCGTGGGACTTACAAAAAAGTTTGCATTCCAGATCTCGCTGAAAATACGGGTGCAGTATCCCTTGGATCGGACGGTAGATTTGTGCAGGAAGGTATGTCTTGAAGTACGCAGCGCGCACGCGAGTGAGTCGCGGCTGAGACGCGTGCGGTCGCGATGCCGCTCGGTCAGAGCGCGTACTCACAGTTCCTTGAGCGCCATTTAGTAGAATTTCAAAGCGACTCAGTTTTTTTTGTTTTCCTTGTTCTCCAACAATTTTTAATTATGAGAGGAAATGAATATAATAAATGAGGATTATTCAGGCTGAAAAGGCTGGTGTCTCCCATCTGACTGTACACGGACGGACGCCTCTAATGCGCTGTGAACCTGTAGATTATGAAGCGATACGAATCGTAAAGGTGAACACATAAAGACCGAGTTGGTTCTGAACGACCATAGATCTTACAGATACTCCCCTCAGACCAAAAATAATATGATTTTAGGAGTCCGTTGGCGTACCGATCGTCGCCAATGGGGATATCACCAAACTCGACCAAGCTATTGAAATAGCGGAGAAGACAGGAGTTGATGGTATGTTGTTTTTTGAGGCATAATTAGTGCTCCCAAAACTCCCCTTAGAGGTTGGTCGCCAGAGATCCTTGCCGGAACACCCCTCTTCAAAGTCGGAACACCTCAACCTCGAATGCCGGACCTCTTATCCTCAATTGTGAGCTATGTCTTTACAATGCGAATAATAGGGGAATACAAAATCATTTATCGTCCACCTGAAAGATGCTGTGTGCACGCTCCGCCCGCTGCAGGTGTGTCTACCCCAATTCATGCAACTGTCTCTTGCCTATCTGATCGATTTTCCCTGTCCCGATGGTGTAACGGATTTTTGACTTTGACTCCGCCCACATATACACGCTCCTCCCGGTTCGGGCGTCCCGGCGACGACTATATATTCCCCAGCCTAATCTTCTCCTTCGTAATTCGTACCACTTTCAGGAGTTATGGCAGCCAATGGACTTCTCTATAATCCAGCCATGTTTGCTGGTTTTGAATACACACCCGCAAGCTGTGTACGCGACTTTGTAAGTGCTCAATTCGTTTGTTCGGTTCGTTTACTTCATGAAAACTCATAAAAAAGCATTTGGCTGTTCGGATGCTGACAGAGGACCCGTCAAGTTTGGGGCCAAAGGCGGCTGAAGGGGGCATTCAGCTCAGAACCTAGACCATTCCCTTTTCTACTCCTCTTCCCCCTTTAAAGGCAGCTGGCACGATAAATCCCTAAGACGAGTAGGATTAGTACGTCTTTTAGAACGGATTTCCGCACCCTGAGCAGGTACTGCGTGGCGCCTTTTCCAGGGAAGATGCCTAAGGGCCTTATCAGGCTACAACATACCGACCCGAACGCCCACCACGCCCGCCCACAAATGGACGACCGTACCTGATGCTCGTATTGCTTCATTTGCTAAGTAAAATATGAAGCGAAGGGATTGATATGAAGCGGCTGCGGTGCTGCATGGATATATGAGTACATACGTGCAGCCGTACCTACCGTAGCGGTTATTGGCAAGATGCCTACGGGAAACTCGTCCGAAATTGCTTTTTTCATTAAGAACGAAGGCTTTTCTTCGCAGGTTTTTGACCGTTTCACTTCGTTTTTTCGCCATTTTCCCCACTATAGCGCCCTGCCGGCATTTTAGGCCAAGTACCAAATTATCGTGCGGAACAGTACTGGCCCAGCGGTTCCCTCTCCAACAGTCTCAGCCTTACATAGCAGACCAGAATAGAGCGCGGCTAACCCTCACTCACCCACTGCCCCAGCTATGTTCTTTTTTATTCAAAAATGGTGTATAAGGTTATATATTTGGGAGTATTTGCCGACTTTCCAACGCCCTATTGACAATGGATTCTGTTAACGTTTTTCAGTTACGTCTTTCTGCTGATCACGGATTGCAACTTCACCTATTTCACCAACATTTGATCTATATGCTTCGTGAACTTCTCACTCCAGCTCAACGACGGGTCTTTCATGAGCTGTCAAGTCGGCCAGCTATTGAAGACTTTTTGGATAATGTTTTAATGATAAACGAGATTGACTATTTGTTGGTCTTGGGTATTTTTACTAACGTTTACCGGTCGCGTTCATACTTCGCATTCGAGCGATTCTGTCGCGCAACTGCATCCGACCGCGCTCCAAAGCTAATCATTGGACCACTGCTACTGTAAACTCAATAGCGTTAAGAACTGTATTCGGCTCTTGAAGCGGTTTACCGATAAGCCTTGGGATGTGAGTCATTCGCAATCGCTTGGTTTACCAATTGGGTAAGTGGATCGCATAGGCAGCGAAGTATGAAAAGGCCTCAGAGGAAGTTTTTCAACGCCAGCGTGTGAACGGGAATTATCGCTGTGAGGTGCGGGTTCGACCCGCCTGGGGCACGACTTTTGCCCACAACTCAGCATTCTTATGATAACATTCGGAACGCGTACTGCGGCGCTTAAACAGCAGTTATCATAACAAAACGGAATTACCACTGTTTTTGCTCGCTTCGATCCCAGTACGGAGCAAGCGGTAATAGCCTGACACTTCTAGCCACGACGCCAGATCCACTTCAAAACAGGCAAGTAGACAGACACTCACGTTTTCTCGCTGGCTTCCTCAGAGCTGCTTGTTAACGCTCCTGGGTAGCAGATAGAAGCAGGTTGCAGAAAAGGCTACAAATATGCATGCTTACGAAAACTGTGAACGAATATGGAGATCCAACGTCACATTCCGCGATAATCAGGTGGGCAAGGAAGTGGGCGGAGAATCTAAACCACTGGGCTGTCCTCGTTGCTGTGCCGTTCTGCACCATGCTTATGAGACCGTCCACCCAATTATCGTGGAATGTGTCTTCAAATCTGCAATGCGGTGGGGAGGGGCTCGTAATCATAAGAATTTCCAATTCATCGCATTCGGCGCCACGAATACTGGTAACATACACTTCGTGAAGTAGAAGCTCGGTGCGACACCATTTACAGAACTTTTCCGTTTCCATAGGCTTTAATTCAGTACAGAATATTGTAGCTCTTATTTTCATCAAACTGGTACAAATAATAGACAAAAACAATAATAACAAATATTGCATATAAGTAGAAACATGGGAGTTATGTGAAATCTCAGTCATTAAGAATAACTGTTTAAATCATGGAACACTGGAGTGTCACCTGGGAGGTCCACCGGCGAAAAGAGCATCACAAGTGTTGTCACGTGCGCGGCATTCGCACCACGACCTTAATGGTTTGTCGTGAAAGGACTATATTAACTATTCGAGAGCTAGCTTAGGAAAAAACAGCTATTTTGTGACCGTCGCCACATCATGGATCTCCTAAGCAACACCCCAAAGTGCCAAAACAAATTCAATGCTATCAGCACAATCACGATTCCTTCTCAGACATGAATCACTATACTATAAGAATGACTAGCGTGAGAGAGGCACGTATAAATTGAACAGCAAATTCAAAAAATGCAGTTTATTTAGCAGTAGGTCATCACGAGACGTCGCGCACACGCAGACGTGCGGAGTTCGCGGTCATTGGTTCAAACGTCACTCCTTCAATTCGTCTCCACTCTCATGCAGACGCATACTATTTCGCCATTTCTGCGACTATGGCGAGTTTCGCGCGCAGTCTCCTCGAGTCGATTCACGCGCGGTCCTTTTAAGCACGCGATGTCGCATGGTGACCTCGTGCTGAATGCTCCAAAATATGCAATTATGCCCAAACTTCAGGAATCGCTGGAAGACTCGTAAATATTATGAGAAGGAGCCTATCCCAGGGGGATAGCCCACATTACAGAAAGACTTCTATGATCAGTATAAAGATCGATAAATTTGGTACTATAGTGGGGGTTCCTTGAGGATTCGTCGTTTGTCTTCCACGGTTGTCTTTGGCGTGATTTCCTCTGGCTCCGGGTCCGGTGGTATTGTTGTCACTGTAAACGCTTAGAAAAATTCCTTTCGAGTTGGTGGAAACATACGATATGATTTCCTTACATATGTTAAGCAATGTACAGTCTTGTTTGCTGCGGATGTGGGGCGTGTCAGGTGGGTTGGGTTTGGCGACGCCATCTGCCCGTTTTCCACCAATCGTAGCCATTTGCTCCGCTTCAACGATTGGTGGGGAACCATCTGGTGTGGGATCTAGCTCACACCTTACACGTCCCAGCATCCGCATTGAACAAGAATGTATGTCATGTCACTGTCAAAAGACTCACCGAACTCGAAATCGACCAGTAGAGGGAATTCACGCGATGATCGGCTTTCGCGCCCGAATTTCACTCCTGATATCTTCATTTGATAGCTGAACAGATGACGACTTTTTTTACCTGAGTTTTATTACTTTGTAAGGTGACCTACTCTAAACTTACTTGACGTTTTTATCCAAAGGAAAGTGCTCTATGACGATGGTTTCCTGTGTTTCTGTCACATTAGTGGCTTCATATTTCCAGTATTGATCGCTGAACTCCGGTCGAATACACACTATGTAGTTCTGAAACAGTAACTACTTACAAAGCACTAACTCATGTACCTACTGTACCATTCCCTTACCCGGTAGGCGTGATTCGACGGCACGTGCACAATCAGTGATGTGTTCCTTAGGTAAGCCGTCACGTTCTCTGGAGCCGGCAGGTCTTCATCGTCGCCCGTAATGGTGTCAAACCATGATACCTAAATGATACCTTGATGCCTGAAAATGCTAGTTTCTAGGGGCCCTACGAGTGCTGAAGTTTTGGTACGCGCGTGGGAGACGGTCAGGACAATCGTGAGTGGCGTTGCGGGGTATCGTGCGGCCATGCGTAGCAAATTTCCCGCGTGCATCAGTTTATCGGTTAAACCGGCGGACTCGAAAGAATTCTAGCAAAGGTGAAACTCCAGTACGGACGAGATCAAATTTCTTCTTCCCTTTGACACCATAATCAAACGGACAGGTAGGACAACTCGTCCCGCAGGCACGGCGCTGCTCGCCACGCCCACCAGCGCGGCATATTACGATTGTCTTGTCGCACACCCCCAGCAAGGCAGCGTTCATAGTTCGCGACAGCGGCGATTGCGCAATCTTTGTGCTCGCGCTAAAGCCGAGAATTACATACGATTGATATTGTTCTTCGAGAGATGGCAATTGCGCAATCGTCGGAGTTGCGAACCATGTCTGAAAGCTGCCTAAATCTGCACGTCAGCGCTCACCCTTTGAGGCAGTGATCCCTCCTAAACAGCGATCACTGGAGTGCCTTCCAGGGCACTTGATGTCGATGGGAAAAAATTTTCCGCAAAACACGACCCTTCCCCCCCCCCCCCCCAAACTCCTTTTCTGGTAGGACTCCCTCCCCCTACTACCCTCCAACTTCGTGAGTTTTCCCAAATTCCTAACACTTTTTCTCAATATTGCGTGCCGTCGAGCGAGAGAAGGTCGCTACAAGACAACCAAGCAATTTCTTAATTCAACTACTACCCCTCCCTCCCCACCCGCCCCTCTTTCCCTCCCGGAGCAAGCAGTTTTCTTTCCTATGAGGTTCGATTGCTCTTATGGTTAGACTCTTCCTAGGGAATGGAAATCTTAGAAAATCCCCAACCCACGCAAGCAATAGTCCTCGCTCACAACGCAATAAAACGCGAGAACGGTTTGGGCTCTGAATAAGTCTTTTGCCTCGACCTTTGCATGAACATACGGCAGAGAGAGAGGGTGTGTCACAAGGAGAAGCTGGCCAGGGCATGGGTGGAGAAGGTATAGCGATTGTATGTTGAATTGGTAAAGGTGGGTCCAGCCCACGGAGGCGGAGCTAGTAGATCGCATTTAGGCTGTGGCGCTCTTATAGCACTTTGCAATCGCGAAAATAGGACATGCGGTATGATTGCGGACCCACCACCTTGTGCAACTAATTGATAATTAATACTTTCAAAGATGCTACCGTACCTCTGACGCGGGTCCTTCATGTCTTTCATTAGTTGCCGATATTTTTAGTTTATAGTGGCAGTCTGGCAGTAATCCGAAGGGTCGACCGATACTAAATCGGGACATGTTGGCGTGCACTTCCACGTAATCCCACGGCTCATTGTCGCTACGATCGGCGTTCTTGAAATAGATGGTGTATCCCTGAAATATCTGGTTTGCTAGGTATCCGCCAGAGGCTACCCTCTGCTCTTGCCTGCCTTGATCTCCCCGTTCGGCATTGTTGGCGGTAACCAAGCAACGGTTACTCTCACGTCATTCGTTTGTAGTGATGTTATTGACGGTGCGTTTTTAGGTCCTTAACTAACTGTAATTAATGAGAGCAGTCCATTGAGATTCTAAGATTCGTTCATACCCCGCGATCCGATCGAGCAATAAGATCGCGCAATCCAATCGATTGAGCAATCTGATCACTCGGATCGCGAACTATGAACGCGCTCTAAAAGTCCAACTAAAGGGAACTGAAGGGACAAGGCTGTGCCTGCATACCCAGACAGATGTGCCGCGCGCCTTGGCTGCAACTTCTTGCAATCGATGCATATGTTTTACAGGCTGCTCAGGAATTTGCAGAATCTGGACGCAATCTTACCTTACAAAACCCACAATAAATAAACTGATAACCTCCATGTGGCGTCAGAAACGTGATGGGAGACAGATTTTTCTCCTTCACCCCATTCGTTTTCGGCTGATATTTGCAGAGTCACATTAACATTATACGGTACTTGCGGTATTCGCACAGGAGGTCCAGCAACGCGTTCGACGAAGTTGGAAAGATAAAGGATGTAGGTCTGAAAGAAGGAACTGAGGAAATTCTTAGGAAGAGCTTTCTTAACGATAGTGCTCTTACTGCATTTCCATTTGGATACTGTACTCGATCCCAATTTATGAACAGGCTATCGTTCTCATCAAACATCCATGTGACGTTGGCTGGCACGTCGCCTGGCTCTGAAATTTTTCATTCTTCATTGGTGACACAGGAAAAAAAGAAAAAAGGCTGTTATCAAGAAGAGGATTGCCGAAGGAAAATGAATCTGTGGCAAAACGGCACTACTGACTTTTTACTGCCTCAAGTTTCCGAAACTAAGTTGGCCTATTACCTACTTTTTTCTCCGGAGGCAGGTTTGATAAAAGTCTACCTTAAGGGCGACTTGACCCTCGACAGCACATCCGCTTAGCCCAGGTATCGCCTGGCGCCCAATCCACAGACTTTGGTACCGAAATGCACCATATCACCAAATTTGCTGAAAACTTATCTCTCCACGGCAGGTTCGACCTTGTGACCATAAATATCGCAATCTCTTGAAG